TTACGGGAACCTACACCGTGCTGACCGCCCAGATACATTTCATCAGTGGATAATTGTCCCACTTGTGCATTCAGATCCCCGCCAGCACAACAGTGTCTGAGCTTCTTCTGTGGCGAAGGAGCTGGGTCAGTTGGCAGTAGAAGTCGTTCTTTACCGAATCATCGCTACAGTTTGTGGGCACGTAGGCAGCGATGACGAATAGACACCTGTTAGTCTTGCGCGACTTCGAAGCTTTGAACGAGCCAGGCAATCGGACCGCACACATCCGGCTACTGATTGGAATCCAATCAACCAGAGCAGTTTCAGTCCGGGGACTCAGGGCAATGCCAACACCAGCTTGGCTGGTGCTCGAAGCTGCATCGTCACCGGATAGGCGCAATGAGAAAATACTGCTTGCGTCACCTGAAGGGGATCGCAGGGTGAGCACAGAGCTCGAGTCTTGCAGGCGGGTCTCTGATAAGCAGCAGATATCAATCGAGAGGGTCTTCAGTGTTCGGGAAGTGCTGCCTGTTGACCTATCTGTAGTAATGTGCGTACATTGAGGCATGCCAATCTGAAGTAGGATCGAGGGCTCCAAATGGAAGCCGATAAACTGAAATGGACCGCTTGGTTAGACATGAGCTCGTCGACAGGAGATGAGTGACGCTCCGCGTTAGCATGTGAACTGAAATTAGAAGATAAATGCCTAGCAACGCATGTTGGGGGAGGGCCCATAATCGGCGGGTTGAAAACTGGGGGGATATAAGTGAAGCTGGAACGGGACGGTAAGAGAGAAAAAGCTTAAGAGGGGAATAAGAAGGTGGGAAGACTTCAGCAGTAGCATCCATACCCCTATCCACCCTGCTCGATGCAGTAGATAGGGCATGGTTGATTATCCTCTGCCGTGGTCAGAGCATCAGAAATTGGTTTGAAGAGAGATTCATTGTATTGCGTGGGCAGGATGCTGTCAGGTTGCTCAGGCCTAGACAGGAGAACGATTAGGGTCCTCAACCATAGCCTTGGGTAAAAAAACCTTACCGCAAGGCAGCGGGTTTGGCGTTGGGCTACAAGGAGTCCGTTTTAAGGAATAAGGTGCCACCCTCATTCCAACCCCCAACCTGGAGGACCAGGAGGCTGAGTTTGTCTGACCTCTAACCATTGACCAATCTGGTATGAGTGACTCTGAAGGTGCAGAAAGCACCACCCAGCATAGCTCAATGGATCGCTGAGGCACACGAACCATCGCACAACGGTAAGGTCCAGTCTCATTGCGATGGGCAAAGGAATACTTTGCATCGAAGTAAACATCCTAAGGAGAGTTCCATGGATGGCCGGAGTACTTTACTTGAACTTCTGGTTAAATCTGCATTTTAGTTTTAGTTTTGATAAAGTATTTATTTCGATAGTTCACGAGCTACATAGCACAGCCGAATCCGGAAAAGCACCAGAAGTCTTTTGCCCTATTGGGGCTCGTTAGTGGTGGGTACTCCCTTTTATTCCCTAATGGTAATCGAAACCATGACCGCTAGAGGCAGGTGCCAACTAGCTGGCAGCTTAAGCCACTGACCCACTGACCGAGAGAATACGCACCACTGACGAGCCCCAATAGGAGGAAACGCGTCTGGTGCTTTTTCAGACTAGGCTGGGTTATGGAGCTTGTGAAATATCGTGTGAATACCTTACCAAAACCTGCATTCAACATTATTCCTAGTTTCTTAATCTCCCTAATACTTTCAAACTGCCAAACACTTCAAACACACACTTGGGAGCAGCTGTACAAGACACGAACAATCAAATATTTCATGAGATATCTAATGACAACTTGATCAGTCCACTCAGTTAGACTGTGCCTCTCACGGTCGAGGAATATAAGGTTTATTTATTTATTTATTTGGTAGTCAACTGCTATATAGCCCGATCAATCATCTGCCACCATGCGCGTTACTATCCGTGCAAAGGAAAGTTTTTGGCCCTCAGGAATCAAAACCTCCCTACCGGTAGCCGTGAATCCGCACAGCATTATGAAAGCTACTAGGATTAATTTTTAACTACTCCTGTATGGACAGATGTGGTGAAACTTATTGTATTACAAGAGGACACAATGGCCGTATGGTGTTTCCCCGTATCGGTAGTTTGTATATTTGGCATGTAAGCAAACTGCGATGCACTAAAATATATTGAACCATGGTTGGAACCAAAAAATGCCTCAGCTGTACGCCGTAACGGCGCTTCGCTCCGGTGCGACCACCACCAGTCGCACGCGGACTAAGTATTCCGCGAGGAGGCCCACCCCTACGCAGATTCGAACCCGGGCCGCAAGATTAGGAGACAAGCTCGTTACCTCTAGACTACGGGCCGATGTTTGGAATCAAAATGTAGTCTTAAGCCCAGAAGAGTTTGTAAACGATCCGTTACTACATTTACTGGGCAATCTTTCGCTTTTGAGACAAATGCTCCTTAAGCTCAAGTGAACTGCCTTAAAATTGGATAACATCAAATGCTTAGCTTGGGTGAAATTCGGAATACAAATGGCGTTAATCAGAAGACAATTGCAGGTGTATGTCGGGTTGTCGTCTTAAGTAATCAATTAATAGGAACTCGGTTAAGTGACTGATAGACGATTGTGTTGCTTGCCAAAACCTTGGAAATGGATATGGTGTTGACAGTGTATCAGGAGTTCAGGCGCATCCACGGATACCCATTAATGTGGTCGTAGTAAGATTGGGTACCGGGCACACAAAGGTTCTGCTCGAGTTGCTCTGTACACGAAGTTGTTATCTTCCGGGGTTTCCAGCGCCTCATCAATTAGGCTTAGCGGTGGCTTATCACAACCGAGCTGATAATCTCGACGATGTCAAGGTCAGTTTCATGTGTTGTGCGTATCACACCTGTGGTGTTTTCTACCTCTAGCTAACGTGTATGATGATCGTGATGAGCAGTTAGACCGCTAGCACCGAGTCTTTTGGAAACACTCTACACTCGTTTGCGTTTTTGGGTGGCCTTTGAAACACATCGCCTATGTTCTGATCGAGCATGCACAGTTCTATCGTCTGGCTTACGGATACAAGTGCATAATTTTTGGATGGAATTGTACTAACTAGAACTATCGATGACTCGGTTTGGGTCTTAATGTGTTGATGTGCTAACCGAGCGGTGTTATTAGCTTGCGTGAGTTTCGTCACCAATCGTGATGACGTCTTCAGTATGCACTGCTAGATTGGTGGCGTTGAAGCTAATCCGGGAACGGATGACTGCAGGCCCCTTGCCTGATCCTTAGATAAATTTCGGAGTTGCCAATCGTTCATTGACCACGTTAGTTGTTAGTTATTTTATCTGGAAATGCTTGGTGAGTTGCCTTAGGAAACAGTAAGTTTGTTTCATTGAGCAGTGGGTCCTTTTATTCCAACTAATACAAGAGCCGTTTCAGCCGTAGACACAAATACAAAGGTCGGCATGGTATTCTCTTCTCGGGGAGAGGATTATATCCGCCTGCTTTCCTTTTTCTCAGTCGTTTGTAGATGGAATCAAGATTGACCCAATTGTCTATTAAGTCCTTTGCACAATGCAGGCTCCAAGAAACCCTCCTCTTTCTTTTGTTTAACCTTTCGTCAGGATATCTGTTTTGGCTGAATCAAAGCTGCGTCAGTCTTCCGTAACAAGCACCAAAACCACTGGGGATGAACAATGGGAGTCGCAAACTCGCTTGCGTACCCTCCTCAATGTTCACAACTTCTTCCTTGTTTACATCCAGCTTTTTCTTTGATTTCGGCACTGTGTTCTGTACACAACATTTCTTTATTCGTGAATCTGCGCTTTTTCCTTGAATCTTGTCATGGTATTCCTCAGTGGGACCGTAGGTTTGTAAGTCGTAATAATGTTGCGTGTTTTGAGAAATTGGCTTATCACTTCGGATGTTTCTCATATGGGATGTAGTTGTGCAGGAGCTTTTGTTAAGTAAAGGAATCCATCAAAGGCACTAGTGTCGACATTAATGTTGAGCGGTTTTTGTATACTACCCTGATTTTTCTATCCAGTACTCTCTGAATCATCTCCGAAGTGTCTTAGGTATGCGGAATTCTTGATATATTCATTTACGTCTTGGTTGGTCCAAGGCGTGGATTAAAGACTTTCTGTAACTAGGTTTCAGCTACAATCCTAGTCACCGGAATAACCAAACTTCCCTACAACATTAAATGCCGTCCAGACTAAGAGTGCTTGTCGCATCCCCAGGCACAAAACAATGTGCTAAATGAACACGTATTTTATTACAAGGTTCTTTACATCCGAAATAGATGAACCCATTAATACCCTGCGCAGGCACTACAATATGTAACACAGATACGTTCATGGGACATGAGTCTCTGCTTATGCACTTATGGATAGGACCTAGTTACAAACTAGATTTGAGCATTAATCGGAGTGTCCATTCGTATGGTAGCTGGGAATTCGTCACATGTGAATAGTCAGGTATACTTCCGATCCCCTGGAGAATGGGTGAATATTGGGAGCTTGAAGCATCCTATCCTTCCGCCATCTCACTAGCGAAGTCACAGGATATGTCAGTTAGATTTAGGATTGTCTTGCTGATCACCTCTTTCAGTCACAGGCGCAACATCAGTTTAATAACTAGGTACGCATTCATACAACCGCAACCGTTTAGACCGGTTTAGCCCAACTGAAGCGAATAAGCCCAGCATTTGTGATATCGAGTCAGATGCCGATGAATGGAATGTGGGCGTTGTAACCATGTACGAATTTATAAAGGCTGGCACTCTGCACATGTAATACAATTCATTCGATTAAAAGGAAAACGTTGATGAACGGTGGGCGAACCTTCGGTTCCTTCTGCATTGGGTTTGTATACTGCGTCTGTCTAAACTCGGCAATAGCGACCGATGTGAAATCGCTGTCAACATGGTCCTCTACTATCTGGTGTCCAATCTGACTTTACGTGTGCATATAACACTGTCGCCAAAAGCTATGCAGGCAAACGTTATGATTAGTCAGAAAACACAAAATTCGCTGACTACACTTCCATCTCGGCAATTAATGGTGCGACAACCTTTTGAACACGCAAGATACATACACATCTAGAAATGCGACTGTTTCTATGAAGTGACAAGTTCCATAATATGGCATTGAAGATGTGTAATTTCCATTCAAACTTTTCAGTCTAAAAAAATGGATAGAAAAAGTCACTAGGCAGGCGAACGAGCAGCAGCGGAGGTTCCTTCTCAATTGGAATGGCCGGCGGGGACACGTCAATGAATCGAATGCGTACTGTAATTTCCACCTGAGGATTAGATGGCTAAAGCGAAGGAATGCAAAACAGCGTATAAACAATCGCGCACACATGAGTAAAAGAGTTCACTTTTCTGACATATTCAGCCGGCTTGAAATAGGGTAGATCCTAGGAGACCTCGTGTCGATCCGAGGAAGTTCAAAGTTGTTCTTGAACCATTTCAGTATAAATTCATTCCAACTGGCTTACTAATTTCTTGTGACACTTTGTTGTTCTTTAGCAGTAACTATTGCTGCGTCGCTAATACGTGTGCACATTCCTGAGTTTACATCCACTGAACTGGTAAAAGACAGTGCCTAATGCATGTCAGACTGTCTACTGGTTACCGAAGATTGGATAATTTCCAATCTTCCATTACCTGTGGGATTATCTAATCTAACGAAAGACCATACAGTATAATCAACCGAAATTCGGTTATCGGACAGCACTTAGCAACCGATACGCGTACGTTGATGAGTTCAACGACGCAAGTTAATTCATACTATGGGATTTTAAGCCAGCACCCGGAAGACAGTCAACACAATTGTCACTAGAAAATCCTGTACACCAAAGTTGAGTTTGAACGAAAACCCTGCTATACTCCGCGTAAATCATGTTACGTGATGCAATTATGCCATCGCAACGGAACTTTTGTTCAACTGTGTCGTTAATCTTCCTCTTTCATGTCCAGCACGGTTGTGCACGAACTTAGAAGATGTCTTTTGATTCAAACCCAAAGGGTTGCGCGTGAATTTAGTGGTCAGCTTTTCGTCATCATGATACCTTCCTTGGTGGACATTATGGAATTCCGCTGTGAATGAGCAGGTCGCTTGCAAGCACACATTTTATAACAAAGCTATTGGACTCAGCCATAGACACTGGCTTTCTAGGCGCCGTTTAATTCTCAGTTATTAGGAGGAATTCATCTTGTTTAATTTAGAAACAAACATTAATATAATAATATCTGTACAAATAACGCCGTAGTATCCCACAAAGGTCTGCACAATAGTGACCGTTTTCCAGTTGTAAGTCGCAATCACAGCCGGTTAAGTAAGCACGATCTGAAAGTATGGCTGACCACTTTAGATCGTGTCGCAAACCTCTCTCAACACGTGGTAAGGGAATCCTACTGTTGGGGTTGTCGACGTCCGGCTGCCAGCCTTCGAAACTAAAGTGTTCTACATTAAAAAGGTATATCAATCAAATGGAAAGCTGTTGAGAAGTGTAACCTTTAAACCAAAACTTACTCCGAAATGCACGTCTCCGTAAATATGAGTGGCCTTGGCACCAACTATTCGATATTGAGGACTAATCAGAGAACCAAAGCGAGCAAACTGAATTTCTGTGTCTTGACCGACCAACAATCCCGAGCACAAACTACAGATGCGAATAACAGTTGGTTACAATCGGCTAGTAGGTGAATCAAAGTCAGGATAAGGCTAGTGTTTAGGTTCAGATAGCTAATAACATGCTCAATTCTCTATGGTGCTTAAACAAAACCAAGCGACCTATTACTAATATACTGGACTGATCACAAAGAATGCCACTACTACTGTTACGGGAACCCCTCATTCAGTTTGTGTAACAAAAGCCTTAGTAACTTGTTAGTGGTCAAATTTTATACACCTAGTACAGTAGGAACAAGTTGTTCCGTTACAATGAACACCAAAAGGCGCAGTTGCACCTCTCCACTACAAGACTACGGCTCCGGTGCACAACCATTGTTGGTATAGACTCGAGGAAGCTGGCCGCAGTTGTCTGTGAGCGAGAGATGAACTCCAAATTGTTTCCCACGTATTGACATAACTAAGACGAACAACAGATATTTATCAAAGTGAGGGCAAAATACCTAGTTATGACCACTACGATATGGGACGATAGCCACAGATGGAATTCGTCGCTGACTCTCCACGAGCGGACGTAAGCCTCTTCTGTGCGACCGCAGATGCAGCTATGCGGCAAACCACCAGGTACCACTCAGTGAACTTGACTTCTGTCTGTGGACAGTTCAACTCCGGTACATGCATTCTCGGATCACGGATATAAAAAAGCTGAAGGCGTGACAGTTGTAACCTACTCCGATCGAATCATACTCATGTGCTGGATGCAGTGATATGGCTTTGTCAAAGGTGAATAGCTTAGCCGCAAGAAAGTGAAGAGTGGGAGTCAGCACCAGTTCTTTACTGTTTTGATCTGGACTCTACAAATAAGAGCTCAGTGGGTACCTGCTTGTAAGCTTTAAATAGAATATTCTGACAGTTGGTTACATCCATTCTGGACGACGAAAGTTTAAAACGAATGAGGAACACACGAAGAGAAGGAATCAATACGACCGTCCGTTTCCGCCCATTTCCGGGAACTGCATAGTTCCCACCACCGTGGCAGTCGGTTACCGGACCCACAGGACAGCAGAAGAATTGGGGATGTGATTGACGGACAACGTTCAGTAGATTTAGTCTACACGCTCGGTTGGACATGATGAAGGGGAACCGGTTCAGCCTTTATTGTGAATCTAAGGTCTTGAAGACAGTTCCAGCAGAATGCCTACTGATACGTCTGATTCTCCAAACACCCGCAACAAACATAAATTACCAGTTGGCCTGCATCTTACTGACTATGCAAAATCGGACCTATTACATGCACTGGTATAACATGAATCATTGCATTTGTTGCATCACGAGAATCAGTGCGTATTTCATACTATACGGCAGTGGAAAGGGGACGCAACATGAACTGTTGGTCCTCCTGTCCTGAATGTCAGAAGGATTGACTCATCACCTGACTTATCAATCTTTAATGGAGAAGACGGTCTAAATGGCATTTTGCGACAAAGTCGTTATGCTGTAAATCGCTTTGCGAACACCAGGAAACAGCTTTCATCCTTGGAAAGTGGACGCATGCAAACCACCGTAATAGTGCACGTCCAGGTGTAGCATCCATGACTATATTTAACAGGTATCCAATTACGTCTTGCTTACAAGCATCCTAAGTTGGAAAAAATAAGGATTAACTTCGTTTGTGTGTATGATCGCGTATCAAGCGTCGTACTTTTAAACAACCAGATCTGCAAGTTCGGTAAGTGCAAAAGGAGCGATGGGGTAATTTTCGAATGAAAACGGTTCAACATCCCAAACCTGCAGACCATAAGCGCGTAGCGAGGAAACGTCGTGCATTTTCAACGTGATAAGCTAAGACAAGAAAAACGAACACACGACATCGCTTACCCCGGTTTTCCTACAGGGGGCTTGGGTGCCGTTGCACCATAAATACCATGGATGGGTACCCAATCTCCGCTCCTGTTCGTTAGCGAGATTGGCCACACCGCCAAGTGGTCTGGTTGAGATCCCCAGTAAGTGATTGGCCGACCAGCGCTGGGGCCCGATTCAACTTGCCCTGAGACAAGCATGTTCCACAATAAATTCTGTAGGATCGAACAGATTGAATTCCAGTCGGAATACGGACTGTCCACGAGGATATACGCGGGAGGACTATAAAAACACGAGAAGACAGATGCACACTCGAGGATCTGACTGAAAGAGCTAAAATTTTCACAGGCGTCTAAACTAATGTTTATCAAACTTTCTACCTTCGGACGGTTTAAACTACAGGCTATTGCAAAGTTCAATACCTTAGAGTATTAGTGACAGGGTTTTGGCACAAACTGAGCAACGACCTTTGCCATTTGGTCCAGATGTGGTCTAACTGACCCAAATCTGCCATCGTGCGCTGTGATGATTAAGGGCAAGTTGTGTAATGAATGCCATCCACGCCTTGTCCACTTCCTCAAGAAAGTAAGCCTTGATGTCCTCACACCTACTCATGAGTCGAAACCGGCCGGTCTGTTTGAATGGACAATCTCGGCAAGTCTTAGCGGAGGCTTCCAGAGTTCTAGGAGTTGATACCTGTTGAATCTCTGTCCTGGGGAGCTTCGGAAAAAGACAGTCTACTTCGTAATCCAACGCCGCTTGAACAAAAATAATGGTAAGCAAGGAATGGCAATGTGAGCAACCATGCGACTCTCCAGGATACCGTCATACTCATAAAATTGTGAGGCAAAGTTTGAATAATACATACGAGAATAGTAGTCAACGTCGTCCACTAGACAGCAGTACAAGTTTACATATGCCTGCATGCAAGCCTACAGCTCGCCGGTCATCTCTTACCTTACGCATTAGTTTCCAGACCTCAACTATGTCATTTTGGACTAAACCAGTCAACTTTCAATATAATGGTGCTTCTCCTTATTTCTTTATCAGCCCGATTTTTATGATTCTGTTTCGTAATTTATGTTTTTTTGTTCATTGTTGAGATCGTGTGTGCTGTAACAAGATTCACACACCCAGGTTGACTTGGCTTGTATATCCACAGATAGTATGTATACAATTCTCGCTTTACAATGGAAGTTTTCAAAGCAGACTGGACGTTTTTCAAATCAAACTAAACACAGCTTTTAGAAATACTAGCAGCAGTTTGTTAGCAAGAAAAAATACGCAGCTGTGGTATTGATGGTCAGTCGATGAAGGGCTGTCCGCTACTACCTTCGTCAAGCTCATTATTATGCTGTGTACGCCATTCGTGCAGCCTTACTGCGCTGCCTTTTAGATGCGTTCTTGAATTAGTTAATCTAGTGTATAGCTAAGCATGGTATTGTTTAGAAGGCGTCTCGCCGACCCTTTCGCCTTCAAACATATGTTTTCCACTGGGTTTAGCGTGTAGGAATAAGGTGACAGAGAGTTCGACTGATAGGACGAATCCGGGATCCCTCATAGATGGTCTGATTTGTGAATTCTGCAGTTAGTTATGATCGTTTATGTGCCGTTCATCTCCACCCGGCAACGTGGAAGGCTCTTCGATGAACATTGGGAACCTTGTAGCACGGCACCTTCCATCGGTGGTGATTTCCGAGTGAATTCAATCAATCTAGTAAACAACAGCAGTACATCAGCCATTTAAACTGATGCGTCGCTGCCATACAACCATGATGACCTATGAAAGAAAGAATAATAAGAGCGAGAGAAGCGAGACGTACCTGAAAACCTTAATGCCCTAAGCAAACATTCAGGGTCAAGGCGCCTACACCTTGTGTAGACGACATACCGTCACAAACAGCTGATTATGGTGCCAAGATAAGGCGACATCGGTGAGACAGCTTCCTTGCGGCTTTTACTTCCCCGCGTCATGGCCCGCCATTACCCCGCAGATAACTCTGCAGCAAACAGACTTCAAACAGGCAATCTGATTAGGAGACGGCCGCAGACGCATCACTGGTGTCGACTGCGAGCCATGCCCTGGAAAGTCTCTATCTAAACACAAGGCGAGTCGCGTGGACTCCAGCGTGGAAGGCGAGACAAACCGACGACACCGAGTTTGGTAGTCAGTGACTTCATTTCCCGCTTCCAAGTCAAGTTCTGTCCACCTCGAGCCTTGGGCCACGCTACGAATCTCAGACAAAACAAGGCTCACCTAGGTAAGCGGTGACCAGCATACTTAGTAGGTGCCCAACCCAACCCAACTTATTCACTGCTACCCGTTGTTCTAAGGAACTTGTTGGTTATCACTGCCTAGTACTCGCCTACGCATATCATCTTAACGGACACGCTGGAGTCACCCGACACCAGCAATGCTCTGCAGACAACGATGGTCAAGGACTTGATTATTCATCACCACAATTATCATCATGTGGTTGCTAACTGTCGATAAAATGACATTCGCTATTGTCACAGTTGTTCAGCGAACCTGTATCCGCCGTAGATAAATGGTAGAACTGCTCTCCGGAAGCTGACATTCCAATAGTCGTGCAGTGGTACAGATTCACATATACGCCCACGTAGACACAATGCACAAAGGTAGCTGGAGAGAAAGGGAGAAAATGGGTCACCGCTATTGACCTCAGTGAACGGCGCTGATGATCAAGAGAACTGGTTGCACTGGTGCCCGCTATTTGCATAATTTGGATTGTATTAGTCCCATCACAGTGTGACGAGGGCATCTTCCCGTCCCTGTACTCATATTTGCAAAATTCCACCGCAAAGATGTTCCAGATGACGAGGAAGAAAGTGACATGAGCAGTAGAGGGACGGTACGGACATACGAGAGAACGTGAAAGTTGTAACACAGAAAGACTAGACGAAGTGGGTCTACAATAGTTTAATGAAAGGTAGCCGCAGGGCAGTCCTTCATCAAATGACCGTCATTAATGCAGCTGTATTCTCCCTTGTAACTAATATGCTGATAGTCTTCATAACAACGAAAGTATACCATTTTGATTTTCAAAACGTGCAGTTTAAATATATGCATACACATACACATTTTTCCCTATACACTGGTATGACCATCATCATCATCATCATCACAAATTAGCTGAAGGTAAGAAAGATACTTTAGTTATTGTGCCGCAATACAAAAGGTAATATATCTGAAGAGTGATCTAATAAACAATATACAACCTAAAAATTGGAATAGCGTGTAATATGATGTTAACTGTAATATTATTCATGAAGAGAGAGGTTGTTGTTGAAGAGGGAAGCTAAACGGAAGAGGAGGAACGATGTGAACAACAACACAAACGCCAATGAAGTCGACTCTTCGACATGTCAACAAGTGCATCCAATCAAAAGTGTCCATCGTCCTTTGGACCCCAGGCAGTCGGGAGATACCAACTGACGCCAAATTTGAAGTGATGGATTTCATGCCTTTTGACCAAGTCATCGCATGACCTCCCCTCATTCTCTTCCATCCTGACCCCGGGGCGCGAAAACAATGCACATCGCGGGAGTCCGTTTGATGGTATGCACAACACGTGGCCCAGCCATCGGAGACTGGTGCGTGATATAATGGTGCTGAGCGATTCACTCGCTCTTCCTGCACCAAATACACGACGCCGAACACGTTGATTAATCACCCGGTGCTCTCATCAGACATGAGCCAAACTACGAAGACAGCAATCATCGAAAGTAACAAGTCGTCTGCACCTTGCCAAAGCGCATCCCCGAAGGACTCTGAAGCATCTGCTGGCCACTGCCGAAGCAATGGCGATCAGACTTGTACAAACTGAGCTTTGTAAGAAAAAGACGCTGATACAAGCTCTCAGTTTGCCTTGACCGTAACCAGGATTCTGTTCTTATCTGACAGAAACTTCAGTCTAACTGTGGGCTTTTTGTTCCAACCAGCTATATGTCCTTACATTTGCTATGTTTCCATTTGTATACGCGCGACGCGGTGTCGTAACTTTTACCACCTGACTTAATTGACAGAACTATCGAACGGCTTCACTGACCCTAATTTCAACTGTGATCTAACCACTATCACCTCAGCTCTAGGCAACTTTCCTGTTTTCTCAAACTTCCTCATAAATGTGGATGCCTGAGGAGAATTATCGTAAGGAGATGTCTCTTCGCATGTATCCTGCTAATGTCTAAATGGGCATAATACACGATAAAAAGAAACCTCTTTATTTCTGTCGACTTGATGGGCCAGGTTTCAATACCACTCATGTGGGTTGAACGTATGACTACTTTATAAAATCTGCCTACCAGAGTGGGAATGTAGTCGCACCGACGCCAGAGGCGCTGCAGACTGGCGAAAGCACCTCGGGCTTTTGATTTATGGTTCGTGATCTCATCGTCTGTTCCGCCAGCGCTAATGTAGCTGCTCAGATACTTGATTTTCTGATCGACTCCTTGCTGTTCAATACTGTGGATCAGGATAGTAATGGGTCGCTGTCAATTTTGCGGAAAGACTGCATTTCGAGGGTAAAAAGGGCAGCCCGAAACGATTGACAACCGGCGCTACGCTGTCCAGTGCCGCTTGGCACTTTGGGACTTGTTACTGATAAAGTCAATATTATCAGCACAATCCATATCAAGAGGTCGATCAAATGGGAGCAGCTCCACACCTAGATCGTGTCCACTAAGTACCGTTTCCATGATTTCGTAGAAGGCGAAGTTGAAAAGAAAGGGTGAGGACATACAACCTGTTCTCATACCACCGGAGCAATTAGAGTGCGACGACGGTTTGTCATAAGCCATCACTCTGGTCGAACTATGCGCATACAACGCTCTAATAACAATAACAACAATAATAATAATAATAGGGTATATTTCTGGAGGTACCGAGCACACCTTTCCTGTGCGGACTGTCCCAAAGAACATAGCGATCCACCGCATCGAAAGCACCTTTGGTGTCAAAGAACACGACTGCGGTGAGTTGACAATAGATATGGCGGAGTACTAACAATTGGCGTAAGATGAAGACGTGGATAATACCGTTCAGGTTAAATCAATAAATATTCTTGCGAGTTATTGTTAGAGGCACTGATGAGACAATACGAAATGCGTGCATTTGCTAGTCTTCGTCTTCTTACTGCGCTTCTCAAATCAATTAAAGTCAGTACCCTTGTGTACCTGAGTAGATACGTTTTCAGCATTCACACAATAAATGAGAATGAAGCAACATATAAAAATAATTTCTAAAAGTAAATAAATTGTCT